TGGATGCATGGATGGATGGATAAATGGATGGATGGATGGATAGATGGATGAATGATGGATGCATGGATGGATGGATAAATGGATGGATGGATGGATAGATGGATGCATGGATGGATGGATGGATGGATGGATCCTTAAACCTCTTTTTTCACTCCACTGTCGCTACAATCATGCTTAGTTTGAGGGATTGCCTTCTAGTCAATGAGTCGTTTCAAACACTGGTTTTCCTTAGACAGAAAACTCTGAATCAGTGTGACTGGATGATCTGGTGAACTGTAAAGTGCCTTGCGATGACGTGTTGTAATTTGGCGCTAAAATCATTTAAAAATATAAACATTATGTATTATTTATCTCCTTAAGTTTGAACGCTTTATTAAGTTGTTTTAACCGATATGAGATCAGATCAACAATTCTAACTAACCGCGTTCTCACTGCAACAGTGAGAGGTCTACTTTAACATGGCATTCAGGGAAGTAAAGGTTGTGGGTAATTATAAAGGGTGTGCATAATGAATCAGAGGGTTTCACAGATGGATGTAATCAGTGCAATTGAGGCATGTCTTCGATGAGAGTTATCACCCCTGCTTCACGTGGATGCCTTCCATCTCACTGGATCCTCACGCCTCACTTCTTCCTGTAATATTTATCTCTTTTCACAGACTGTCTACATGTTCTGCGCTCTGGCGCTGGTCTGTGATGACTACTTCGTCCCTTCCCTGGAGAAGATCTGTGAGGTATGAAACATCAACACGTTGTCATTTCTCTGCAATAAGCTGAAAAAGGTGATCATGTGTTTAAAATGCTGAGAAACTGAAAAACTAATTAGAATTTTGGCCAAATCTTATTGCTTTGGGTCCTAGCTGCCAGAATTTTTAAGGGGGATCTTAAGAGACTGTTTACTTATGTTTTGTTTTTTAAGAGCTGTGAAAACATAAAAACAATTTCTTAAAGGAAAACTGTGAAAGATCTTTTGAATGTTTTTGAAAATTGCACCTTAGTGTTGAAAAGAAATTACTGATCTCCTCTCAATGATCTGAGTTTTGTTTTTGCTTAACATTAAAGCTCAGACCTATGATCTATGTTTTTTAAACTAACACTAAGTATGTTTTCAACCTTCATAAATTATTTTCACAACTTTTGTAATTACACATCATCTAATAACCAGTTGAATGACACATCTGAACGGAAGTCAGTGGGACTTTGTTTCCAGGGCAACTATATATTTGTGCAAAGTGTTCAGAGTTGATATTCCTGCTGGGATCTATGAGTGTGTTCACTGTTAAATTATTGAACATGAAATATGTATTTGTTTAAAAGGCTCTAAACTTGTCAGCACATCAGTAGCTGACAATGGATGGGGCGGCAATGGTGCAGTAATACGGTGCAAAACCAAAGTTAAACATTCCTTAATTTTCAATATCGTCATATGACATTGTTTCACCACAATTACATTCATCACTATTCATGACTGAAATAACTGACAGAACTCTCTCTAAAATACCCCACAAACTATTTTCTCATGGGGGGACTTTAAAGATGGTGTATCATGATTTGCTTGATATATATCTTCTAAATCCCATCATATGAATTCAGTTTTACATAATTTTTGACCAGTATAGTAGAGCCTTGGCGATAAGTACGTCTGATCTTGGTCTGAAATTGATGGCTCAGTTAAATCCAGGGATTAAAGTATTCTGACCCCAGGGTGGACTTCCGTCTTGTAGTGAATCACTCGAAAATAAATTGATGGTAAATAAATTTTAAAAAGACAATCGAAAACCCTCTTGCGTTTGTCAGCCAATGGTAGCAAAGGAGACCTCTGAAACAAACAGTATTAACTAATCAGAAGAAGAAGGGGGCGGGTCTTAGGAAAGCTTGTACTTCCTCTTCTCATTTCTTGTTCAAGTCACCAGATATTTTGTGGTACATTGCTGAAGTTCTACACCTTGGGCCGTTTACGGCTCCATTCAATGGAGAGACGTGTTAAAAGTCAAAAAATAAATAAATTAAACTCTGTGTTTGGACAGAAGGACGAAATTGCATGGAGTGGGTACAATGCAGTTCATAAAGTCCAGCACGCTGTGCTCAAGGAAGCTTATTTATGCATCCAGGTGCTACGCAAACAGGAATTAGACCCATTAAGCTGCTGTTCGTGTGGCCGCGCACACTACACATTTGCCGGTAGCTACGGCAACAGCTGATATACCAGCATCAATAACTGACCATGTATGCAAGTTAAAATTAGGGTGTGTGCTTTCCTCGCCGAACACAACCTCTCATTCATTCTAGATATAGATGCACTTTTTCCATCTTCTGCGCAGTAAATGTTGCAGTGTTAAAGTAACACTTTGAGAGTACATTTGCGCCCACAACTAATTCAAAGTGGGACCAAATGTACTCTTGAGTGTTACTTTAACACTGAAACATTTACTGTGTGCCCGTTTTTAGTATTGGATTTTCAAAAGTCAAATTTAGTCTTCAATCATTCATGCAATCTCTGATCCCACACCATCCTGGCATGGCCTTTGCCTGTGTCGAAAAAGTTCACGCTCAGGACTTTCTTTTGCTTTAATCCATGTAAATCCCACATTGCCTTTTGGGTAGTCTAAGTCACCGTACTGCTAAATAGTGTGGATGCTGGTTTCTCACCTGCACCTGATACACCTTACTGTAATATCACAACTCATTTACTGTAGAAAAGCCCAGTATAGAGGTCACCGAACGTTTGCCTTACACCTGTTTAATGAGGAGAAATTTATCAACAAATTCTTGATGGTTTAAATACAGAAGAGTTGAAGTCCCACCACCTAGCTTTGTTCAGCTTCCAGCGTGATTGAAAAAAAAAAACCCATAATGGAAATTGATGACATGTGATTATGTTTCAGTTAGAGTTAGGTGCTCAGCTGTAGTTACTGCTTCCTAAAGTCTCTTCTTTGTTCTGTTTTCCCTCAGCGGCTCGATCTGAGTGAGGATGTGGCAGGAGCTACCTTCATGGCAGCTGGCAGCTCGGCTCCAGAGCTCTTCACCTCCATTATCGGTAACGACAGATCCAAACCTTCATGGACTGCAAACACACTCCACAATACACATTACTTTATAGTGTTGATGACGTGATATTAATTTCATACAATTTTGCATTAAAATTATGCAGCAGGACATAACAAGTGATTCAGAGTTATTATTGTGAATTAAACAGGGACAAATATCCTACATTTTGTCACGAAAACTAAGTCCAAGTCTTCTGCGTCCATTTCTGGCTGGTTTGCACTGTCACAGTGGGGGTGGAGGTTTGACAGGATTCAAATGCAGACACAAGCTTGAGGTGGTTAGTTGAATGTTTAATAATAAAAAGGGTAATAGAAGCAAAAATTAAAAAATATAAATCCACAAAAATCCAAAAATGCTCAAAACCATGAATACTCACAACAAGAAGGGGACAAAGCAATGATGATAAACCAGCAAAGAGTGACTGAACAGGAGGAGAATATATGGGAGAGAGAAACATAGACCAGGCTAATTAGCAGAATGGGAGCAGGGGTGAACAGTGGAGGCAAGAAGGGAGCTAGGGGAAAGGAGACTGACACAAGAGGGCAGAAAGGAAATATCCAAGAACTCAAATACAATCAAAATACCTAGAACACAATAATCAAAATAAAACTAATGAAAACTCAAAATAAAACGTGAACAAAACCAAAACCATGACATATTTAGTAGCTCCATAGCAGCACTCTCATTTATAGCAAGTAAAAACCCGTCTCTGTTTGTTGACTTCAGAGGGAGAACACTGTTGGTGCTAGCTCAGCATGCTCTAACGGAAATGGATGTAAACATTGATGTTTGCACCAGAACATCCAGTTTGGAATTGGTTTGTGTGGTTGAACCATCAGCCAGTTTAAGCTCAGGTAGTCTAAAAGCAATGTGAAACCCCCCAAAGTCGATAAAAAAACCCCCCAAAAAAACCAGCATAAACTCCTTTGTACCTTCTGTTTAAAGTCGTAGGGATATCTCCATCATATTGAAATCATTCTTGCTTAAACATGTATATAAATGTGCTCTTTATCAGACCATATTGTCCCAAAATTTTGAAAATTTCTATTTAAAAAAGTAAAAAAAATCCTGTCTTAAAATCTGTGTTGTTTTTTTCATTCTCTTATGCAGGCCAGTTAGTTTTAGGTCAGCCTGAACACCGAAATTCGGCCAATATTATATCAACGGTCATCTGTCAATCAAATTTGTCATTGATCTTGATTCATATGTCGCAGCTGATATACGCAATGGTTGAAATAAGAAATAAGAATAATTTCCTTTCCCATTGAGTTCCGTCCCAGTGTTCACGGGGATAGACGTCTGTGTCTTCGGCAGGCGTAGAGCTAATAGAACTGGCAGCGTTGCGAGGCAAAGGCTCAAACATGTACGGCTGTAAGCCTTCTACACCAAACCAAGCTTCTGCCGCCCTGGCGTCCTCATCCACAACATCTTCGTCCCCGCTTTCCTCCTCTAAATAAAAAATATATGATGGAGGAGACTCATCCACGACCTCCGACACAAAACTCTCCTCATCTTGCATGTTTCCGCTGTTCATAGCAGGAGAATTTGGAAATATAACGGTTGGAACAGCCGTTTCCCTACGTCTTTAAACCACAAACGTTTAAAACACATGATTCGCGTGTGCTGTGTTCGGTTCATGCGCTGCTCCTTTTTCTCATAGGCGAAGCGTGTAAACTCCAGAGCAGAAGGTGGCGGTACTGCGACCAAAGCCAACCACCAGTAGTAAACAAGAAGAAGAAGCGAAGCAGCGTAGCCGGGTAGCAGAAAAAAATCAGTTGTTGTGGAGAATTGTGTGGGTATGGCGAGTGGGAAAGAACAGGAGTTGGAAGACGCGCCAGCAGCACTTTATAGGTCTGCTGTATGGGTCCACTTTGCATTTAGAGTGACCTACGATGACCGCGGAAAGAAAGTTGTGGATAAAAGTGCAACAGTATGCAAGCATTGTGCAACACGTTTTGTTTATGCTAACAGCAACACGACCAACATGTCAGCTCACCTGCGGAGACATCATCCCAGTGGGACCGTTGGCAAATTGTTTGCCAAATAAATGAAGCACATGTTGTACCAGCACTGTCTCCTCTCTTGCAATGCCAGAATCTCACCTACATTTAACCTAAGACTGTCACAATGATGTATCAAATGTCAGACTGCTTTTTTCCGAAAACCGTGACCACAAAACCGTGAACCGAACCGAACCGAACCGTGGATTTTGTAAACCGTTCCACCCCTAGTGTTGACCCATATGGAGAACCAGTGAATTTGAATGTTTTATTTCCAAAAGCAACAAGAATCTGGAAACAAGGAAGAGCCCTGCAGAAAGTCAGTTGAACTTTTTGGTGGGTTTGAGACATGAAGGGAAGCTAGCATGGATTTGTAGGGGTTTGACTGGCTTTGCAAACTGAACCCCAGGAATATCATTGGGGTAATCAAGTGAAGAGAGGCGATCTTTCTCCTCCTTATAAAACCCCAGAGACCCTAACATTGATTCCCGTTTTCTCCCTCAGTCACTGAGTGACGCTACAATCCTTTGAATGGTCATTACATTGATCATCAGTATTAACGTGGTCTAAATATAATAACAGAAAATGTCAATATTGTGTCATCAACACTTTAAATGTTTGAAATCTTTATTGACGTAATTATATAGTTAGCTCTGGAGTGTTACTGATGGTGTGAAGTTTCTAAGCCTGATGTGTCACACTCAGAAACTACCAAAAAGAAAAACTTCTTACCTCACTTTAAAGCTGGTTTTTAGAGACATGTTTAGAGACAGTTTCTTGATTTATGTTATTACAGCAGAACCTGCTGGATTGCTCTGGAAAACCTTTATGTCACCTTTATGTGCTATAAATATATCAATATAACATTTGTGTTATTAATGATTGTCTCTCAGTGTATCTTTGTGATGACTGTGGTCACAGCGTAATGTGGTGATCAGTGAAGGAAGTGATGGATTTCCACAGATACAATGATGGAGGGTTAGGGTCAGGCAGGGACCAGGGACAGTCTGAACATTCATATCAAGTCAAGTTCTAATGTTGTGTTAAACTCAAACTGATTTTGAGAAATTTCTCCTATTTCACCATATAAATGTCAAAGTCATAGAAAAAAAAAACCTAAATCAGCTAACCTCTTGTCACTGCCTTCTGGATGTTTTACCCCTAACTTACCTTAGCAAATGTTCTGCCTGTCATAAATGTCTAATTCAACTCAAATACTCAATATACCTCTTTCCCGAATGTCTGAAAAATGGCGATTAGTAAAATGCTGTTAAAAAAAGCATTTAGCACGAGCTGCTACCGCAGAACTACGTCTCAGACCTCTCCTCTATCTGTGAGATTATTAAAACAAGCTGTTTCAGCTGTTAAACGCTTTCCTTAATGATCAGCTACTTAGATGTATTTTAGACTTCTGTTTACCACAGTACAGAAACCACCCTTAAGCACCTCAAAAACTCAGCCTTTCTGCTCCAGCACTAGACTGGTTTAAATCCTACTTGAGGGACGGGGACTTTTTTGTGTCAGGGAATTTTAAATCAGAGACCAAAATAATCATATATGGCATACCCCAAGTGTCAATCTTAGGTCCCCTCCTATTCACTATCTACATCTCCAATATCTAACCGCGTAACGGAGACTATAATAAACAACAAGATATGTTACATATATTACAATGTACAATAAATAAATAAATAAATAAAAGAAATCCACACATGGATTGGACAAATTTGTCTTTAGCTGAATAAAAACAAAAGTAATATGTTTTGGACCAAAGAATATTGTTCAAAAGTTAGCATATTTAATCCATTTAGGAATCACCAGTCAGGCTGTAAATCTGGGCGTAGTGTCGGACTCACACCTGAATCTTCAGAGACACATTAAGACGAGCCTGACCAGCAAGACTGATAGAACGAAAACATGCTGCCTCAGTCTGGAAAGGAGTGGCGGGATCAACAGTCAGTGAAAACATGTTAGAACCAATCAGATAAATATGGATCAGATGCAAAAATGTTGGGCTTTAGAATGGAAAGCTCTTAAAGCAGGCAGTTGAGTTCTGAAGATATATCCAGCTCATTTGACACATCAAAAAATAAGCTCATTAAAACCCTTTTTTGCAGCTTTGATCTTAACTGTTATGGTTAAAGAGAAGTGTTTTTGCACCACGTGTAAATCTGGTCCAAACATGAACTCCCAACTCCTTCTATGTGATTGGTCCAGTCTGTTTAAGACCAGAGAGTCTGAGCCTTCCCAGACTGACTTAAGGTCTGTTTAAGTTAGTCTGGTGTTTTCCTATTATATGCCTTGCCATGACAGCACATTATTTAACGGCGCATCCCTGTTGGTGTTTTATTTTCCTTAATGTGGAGAAGTACGAGTGGCTAATCTAGTATTCATTCAGACAATGTTATATAAAATTATGACTTTGCTTATCAACTTCCAACTCTATGTGAGAAGCCTCAAGAATCCTGAAAGTAGCCAATCACAGGCGGCGTGCTTTGTCCAGTGGGTAACTTCTTAAAAGTGACAAAAGGGTCCCCGTTGTAATCTGTTTGCGGATGTAACATGTGAAACATGCGTATGAGGAGCAGTTTATGAACGTCTATGATGGAAAGCTGCTCGTAGAAGTATTTATTGCTTGTGTGGACATTTGGTAGAATGCTGTCTACATATAAAAGTGTACAAATAAGCTGTTTAAGGGATTAGGAAGAACTGTTCTTCTGTGTTTTTATAGTCCATAATTATAATATAGTAATATAGTCCAGAATCCGCTGAATCCTCTGCACATGTTGTCACTCCATTATTTCCTTTATATTAAAATACACAAAAAACAAAAATATGAAACAAAAAACAAGGCAATTGAAGCACAGAAGAAAAGCAATACCCAAATAGAAGTCCCTCTAACTATAACATCTTTATCGTTATTCTTGTCAGCTTTGCGTGTTTAAGCTTTTGGGTTTCTGTAAATGTCTTCATTTTCTCTCCTTATTTATGTTACGTATTTTAGGTCATCTCATTGTCAAATTTCTTCTTAGTTTTTTCTGTATCTTAAAATATTTAGGTTCCCTCCCTATATTACTCTTACGCAATCGAAGTAGTTCTAATCCGCACATGGTGCACGAATCATTGTATTGCCTACACACTCTCAATCGCATTAAAGAAACACCACCTAACATAGTCTAAAATCCGGGATGATTTATCAATTATCTATATCGAGGAGACTCCCAGAACTTCAGGGAGACTTGAGATGTCTGCATTGGTCTCTGCTGTTCCTCATCTTCCATGGTGCACAATCAGAATTATTTGCTTTTTTTTTTATTTTAGTGATAAAGTGCTGAACACACAGATAAGCAAGTTTCAAAGTTGTCATTTTCCTTATTACTGATTTCCTGGCTTTTCATTCCCATTTCTTTCCCTGGTCCTCTGTCTATGCTTAATTTCCTGCTTCCTCTGTGTAAGCATACTGGTTCTTATTATTGAATATTTCTACTCACTATAACCCTAAGTTCTTTTTGCAAGAAACCACCAATATCTATTTCTAGACACTATAACAAAACTTAACAAGAATATGTTGAACTTCTTTACTTGCTGTGTCGGTAATATGAAATAGAGGACTCCAGCCTGTGAAGATTTTTTTCTCCTTCCATGATTTTTTGTTTGTTTCTACCCCAGGCGTGTTCATCACCAAAGGTGACGTGGGTGTTGGGACAATCGTAGGCTCGGCCGTCTTCAACATTCTCTGCATCATCGGTGTGTGTGGCTTCTTCGCTGGCCAGGTATGATCTCATAGATGACCTGGTGGCATTTACACAGTGTGTCTGCTGGCCTGATCTCACATTTAAACACCGGGCCATGCAAACACAAAATGTTGCAGTCTTCATCCATGTGCCTCTGCAGGTGGTCAGACATGTTAAAGCAGGAAGTGTTAGGTTAACAGAGTTTCTTATGGGATGGTTTGAAAGAGGCATTTTCAATGCAGAAAAAAGTGTTTCATCATTTTCAATAAAAAAAAAAATAAACATAGAATCCCCCCTTTTTTTTTTTTCTTCAAATTGCTGTTTCTATTTTCTCTGTGTATATCGGGTAACTTTCTTCTCTGGTTGTCAGGATTTGGTGTTGGTTTGAGGACCCAAATGCAGAGGCAAGTAGGCAGAGGTGAATTTAGGTGGGTTTAATGAGGTTCACAGGAACTGAGGCAGGAATCAAAAAATCCAACAGAAATGACAACGAACCAGAACCAAGGAGACATCAGGGGAAAACCAAACTCTAGGAGCCAGGGAGAGA